TATCTATCTATCTATCTATCTATCTATCTATCTATCTATCTATCTATATCTGTGGGTGTGTGAGTTTGTGTGTGTTTACTAGTATGTATACCTGTCAGACATTGTCATCTAAGACTGTATGAAATCATTACATATTATTTTCTATCTATCTATCTAAGTCCATTTCTACTGTGAACGATATGTTTGAATGTTTTTTTTGTTGTATTTTTTTTTCTTCATCTTCCTCCACAGTTACATGGAGAAAGAATAACGTGGAGCTGCGGAGCGACGCCTTCCATTCGATCAAGGCGGAGGGGGGGAGGCACAGCCTGCTGATAAAGGAGATGGGGCCTCACCACGCCGGCTCCTACAGCGTCCAGGCGGTCAACGCAGCCGGCCGGGCGTCCTGTGCCGCCACCCTCTACGTCCGATCGGGTGAGACCCAGTAAAACCGAACGGCGTCAAAAAAAAAATACACGAGCGTTTTTGATTTTTTTGTTCGCCTCTCCTGCAAAAACCCTCTAATCCACCGCCAGCCCTCCTCCGGCCTGACATTCTGTCTCTTAATGGCTACAAAGGCCCACCGGAGCTCAGCATCCCGGCCGCAGCTGATAGTTGCCATGACAACCCCATCCATTCATTCTGTAAAAGGCAAAGATCTCTCCCGGGGTGGCTTTAAAACGCTCCCCCCGAGGCTTTAGAGGCAAACCGTGGCATTTGGAGTCGGAGCTCTGTTTATGGACAAAACCCCTCCTGTGTTACTTGTGTAAATTCAGCTCCTTCTTCCAGAGTTTTGTTTTGTTTTTTTTCCCGGCGAGCACCGTGCACAGGCCCCTCCGCTGCCGTCCATATTAGGCCAGTGGAGGCCGACTTGCAGGAGTATTTTTAGCCGTCCTCTTGTTCTCTTGGGGAAATCGCTGTCTGCTTTATGTCCTCCCCCCCACACCCGTGTGAGACGGCTCTGCTGCACTCGTGGACTTTAGTTCAACACCCCGGGGCCTGCAGATGGAATGATCCAAAATGGGATCCGAGCTCACGAAAGTGTGTTTTTGAAAACGTGTTTGCAGTGGGACAAGTCCATCTTAAATCGTGCTTCCATTTGCTGGGTGTTTTTTTGGGGGGCCTGGATCACATGACTCTGTCGAACACGTTTGGTGTGAAGCCGAGAGAGAGAGAAAAGCTTTTCCACCTGCCGCTTTGTGTCAGATGTGTTGCAAAAAAAAACAGAGAAAAGATCTGAGAAAAAAAACGGTTTTGCCGACCTCAAACAGCTCAGCAGTTGTGTAAGAGTTGGCAGGTCTCCACATACACTCCCAGGATTTTTCCCCCCTGGTGCACACACACACACACACACACACACACACACACACACACACACACACACACACACACACACACACACCGCTCGGAGATGAGACTCAAGGTAGGTTATTTTATTTGCTCCACTGCACGTGCAACGACACTTAGATTAGTTTAACATGAGCATATTTCTGCATAATTTAACACCGGCAGACTGTTTTTTTCTGTTTGGATTACTTCATTCCTTGTGCAGGTTTAAATGAGCTTTTTCTGAATGTGGGCAAATCTTTCTTTGACTTGATCCTCCTCCAGTTTACGGTGAATGATCTGAATACCTTGAGTTTATCATCCAAAAACCACTTTGCCTCCCCCCCCAACGCACTCTGCCTCTACTCCTTCCCAAAACCGAAGGCATTCTTTCTAACTCGTCCTCTGTTATTATTAGTTCGGAATCAGTTGTCATGGTGTTATCTGGTGTTTCCAGACGTATTCCAGGTCGACATAAAGATGGAGAAAAAGAGTGCTTTATATTTCTCTTTCTACCTTTTGACTAAAGCAGATGCTAATCACAGTGTCTGCTCGGCAGCTCCAGGGAACAAGTGAGTGATTGGGTCAGAGATTAAGGGATTATTCCATCATCTGTTCGGCTACGGTCGCTTCAGAAACCTTCAGAAAGGTTTTTTTGGCTCATTGTGAGTCAGTGATCCACACAGGTGCCGAAACGTGCGCAAATCGGACGACTTACTCGCGAGCTCGATCCCATAAAGAGGCCGACGTGTAATGCCGTCACGCTGGTTGTAAGGTGCCTGCTCTTCTTTTTCTTCCAGAGCCGACAAGCGTCCAGCACGGAAAACCGCCGGTCCCCCCGGATGTCAGCAGCCCGGTCCAGTCGGATGAGGAGTATCTGAGCCCTCAGGAGGAGATGATGGAGGTCGGAGACTCGACTCCTCGGAATAAAGGCGTCCTCTTGAAAGAGCCACCCTCATTTCTGGTAAGACTGAATATGAAGTGATCAATAACAAGATCGTATCTTTATTTATTTCACATTATCGAGGCTGGACTCCTCCGTTGTTTGGGGACCCGTCATAATTCTACTGTCTGAAGATGAAAGTTTGGATTTCCAATTTCGTTGTTGCAAAGGCCAAGGAGGAGGCATGAGTAAAGATCAATTATGGCAAAAAGCTTCCTAGTTAAGCCACCGTCTGCCTGAGATAGTTTTACGTGTCCAAAACGCAGCATTAGGATGACAAGCTAAAGGGATGAGGGCTATTTGAGTAATAATGAGTTTTACTTTTAAGTACAAGTAAATGAGGTTGATTTTTTTCTTTTACCAAAAAGGTGGCACCATGTGACCAGGGGCTAACCGAGGGTCAAGATGTTGTCCTGGCAGCGAGGGTCGCGGGGCAGCCCAGACCCATGGTGTACTGGTAAGACACCTTTCCTTTTGCAGACACATTTACAACCCCCTCGAGCTTCGATTTCAACCAAGGTCGGACGAAAGCTTTCCTCCGGACGGCTGAGGATAAACGATGGTGACAGCCTCTTTGTGCACCGACCCAGGCTGAAGGACAGGCTGATGGTGAAGACGGCGGGGCGCTTCACCGTCCGAGAGACGGAGAGCGGCGCCAGCGAACTGAGGATCAGCTCAGCCCGGAAAGAAGACGCGGGCCTTTACGTTTGCAAGATCGTCAACGAGTACGGGGCAGAGCAGGCGGAGGCCAAGCTGGAGGTCGGAGGTGAGTTAGCGAACGCTTCATTTTGGGATTGCCGGGGTGTTGTTGTTTCCCGGCGACTTGGTCACCCTGCCGTTTGTTGTCCCCCCCTAGCCGCGGCGCCGACGGCTCTGAAGATCACCGGGGAGGTCAAAGACGCGTCGGTTCGGGCTGGAGAGTCGGCCGTCTTCGACTGCCACATCACGGGGCCGGCAGACGTGGAGGTAGACTGGCTGTCCAACGGAAAGCTGATCCAGCCGGCGCTACTCAACTGTAAGATGCACTTTGATGGAAAGAGGTGGGCTCACTCTTTTTTTTAATTTTTTTTTATTTTTTGCCGGATGTCCGCAAGCTCAAAGCGCGAATCGTTTTTGGAACTCTTCTTTTTGTTCCACAGGTGTCGTCTCATGCTAAACTCTGTGCACGAGGACGACAGCGGAGTATACACCTGCAAGCTGAGCACTGCCAAAGGTGAGTCACAACACTCGCTTTTCAAGAAACGGTGCAGGAGAGGGATGTTCAACAACGGTCCTCGAGGGGCCACTGCCCTGCAGGTTTGAGCTGTTTCCCTGATTCTGATCAAATGGAATCTATTTTTAAGCTCTGCACGGGCCTGCTAATGCCAAATTGATGTAAATCAGATGTGTCAAACCAGGGAAATGCCTAAAACCTGCAGCCCTCGAGGCCCAACATACCCCAATCTACCAGGTCATGGTAATCCTCGCTTGAAAGCTTGAGCAAAGGCAACTAGACTTCCTCTTGGATTTTAAAGAGAGACAGCCCCCAATTTTTCCATCCATTGTCTCTACCTTTTATTTTAGTAGGTTGAGGAAAGGGGGTTTGGAGTCTATCCTGGCTATCATTGGGCGAGAGGCGAGTCCAGTTGCCTTTTCTCCTGCTCTTAAGTGAATGTTTAAGTGAAGCCCAAAGGAATGATTTGGTAATGATGTGCACCAAATAAACCAGGGAAATACCCAAAACCTGCAGGACAGCAGCCCTCGAGACCCAACATACCCCTAGTGTAGGTTGTCAGTGAACCAGGTCATGGTAATCCTCGCTTGAAAGCTTGAGCAAAGGCAACTAGACTTCTTCTTGGTTCTTAAAGAGATTTCCCTGCTCATAGAGACTCTCACGGCTCTCACGTTGGACAGCCCCCAATGCTTCCATCCATTGTCTCTACCTTTTATTCTTAGTAGGTTGAGGAAGGGGGGTTGGAGTCTATCCCAGCTATCATTGGTTCCCACTTATAAAAAGTCCAGTTGCCTCTTCTCCTGCTCTTAAGGGAATGTTTATGTGAAGCCGAAAGGAATGATTTGGTAATGATACGCACCATGTAAAAAAAAAAGACAATAAACTAATAGATCCTTTTGTTCACAGAGGAGCTGACCTCAAGTGCAAATTTGAAAGTCACTCCATCCAGAGAGCCTCTGTTCACTCGTAAACTAGACATCTTGGAAGTCATCGAAGGGCGCACGGCTCGATTTGACTGTAAGGTGAGCGGATCGCCTGCTCCACGAGTCACATGGATGCACTTTGGTAAGAAGCCCTGGCCATTCTTCACCCACCGACTCCTCAGAGGCAATGTTTTTTTTTTGGTTCGTTCAATAGATTTGTACTTTTTATCAGAGACCCGAGTGGAAGAAAACGACAATGTCCGCGTCCTTCAAGAGGGGGGTCGCCACTCTCTCGTCATTGCCCACGTCAGCACCGAAACGGAAGGCTTTTACACGGCGGTGGCTCAGAACGCGCACGGGAAGTCCGAATCCACCGCCGAGCTCTACGTGCAGGAACCGAGGGCCGCCATCTCCTCGCACATGTGAGTCAAGTCGTCCTTGTAAACTGTTTGCCATGTTTCTGTCACTGAAATCGTTCCCACTCAAGGGCCAAGTTGGAGAAGATGCCGTCCATCCCCGAGGAGCCGGAAATGCTGGAGAGTGAGGTGGAGAGGAGGACCATGCCGGACTTCCTGAAACCTCTGGCCGACGCGGAGGTCATCGAAGGGAAGGAGTCGGTGCTGAAATGCAAGGTGGCCGGCCTGCCCTATCCGACCATCGCCTGGTACCACAACGGCAAGCGCATCGAGAGCAGCGAGGAGCGCAAGATGACTCAGTGTAAGCGGGCAACTTTGCAGCAACGGCTAAACGACTTTTCTTTTCCCGCTTTGTCTCTCTTTGAATGGGAAGTAACTCCCGTGTGTGTTTTTTTTCAGACAGGGATGTCCACAGTCTGGTTATTAGGAGCGCTTGTCATGCTCACGGGGGCGTCTACAAGGCCGTAATCTCCAACAAAGTGGGCAAAGCGGCGTGCTACGCCCACCTCTACGTTACAGGTAAAGATGAAAAGCTCGCTTTTCGACGCTGTGACGGACGGAAAGCGCCACGGTTCTGAACTTTATCGACCTGTTTTGGCGATAGATATTGTTCCGGACCCTCCCGATGGTCCTCCAGTGATCGAGGCCATCACAGGGAAAACTATAAGCCTCAGCTGGAAGAGACCAAAGAGGCTTGAGCCATCCCTGGGTGGGTTATTTGCTTCATTGATCATTATACTTCCTTTTTTAAGGACTTTTCTTGGTCGCCATACAGATTAACAACATCATGTGTTATTTCAGATGCCACCTCCTTGCTGTATGTGGTCCAGCAGCAGCCTCTGGGCTCAATCCAGTGGTCTGTCGTGGCGTCTAACCTGAAAGAGACAAACTACACCGTCGCCTCCCTGTCGAAGGGAGTTCGTTATGCGTTCAGGGTCCTTACATCCACCGGGAAGACACTCAGCAAACCATCCCCATCCACCGATCTGGTCCAGCTGCTGGACAGAGGTACAGAGACGCAATGGCTTTAACCTCAGCTCCTTGAGGAAAGTGTTTCATCCGTGACCATTTTTTTTTACCCCCCACCTTTTAGGGCCATATCTGAGGAAAGCTCCGATTATTTTGGACAAACCAGACGTAGTGTACGTGGTGGAGAATCAACCTGCAAGCATCACCATCACACTGAACCACGTGCACGCAGTGGTCACCTGGAAAAAGTTAGTTCCCGTCTATAGAGACAAGTGGCTGTTTCAAACACATCATTTTATGCCTATACATGTCTTCAATGCACTTCTTTATATTTGGATGTTTATTTTATTACAGAATCTGTTCAGTTTAGTGGAAGTTTTTAGATGTTATATGAAACAAAATAATCTACTTAATTACTAAAACACAATGTTTCTTAGCACGAAGTGGGAACAAATTTGACCTCCAGCATGAAGAGTTCGAGCAACCTTTAAAAACAGAAATTACTAATTTCTCAAAATAGTTGAAAAATCTTGATTTATAATCTTTAGCTCCATCGTGTCTTTATTTATTTTTTTACCTCAGGAGGGGCGTAGTGTTGATCAACAGACCGGGAACGTGTGAGATGAGCATGCCGGACGATGATCAGCACACCCTGACGCTACAGCGGGTCAAAAGCACCGACGCCGGCCAGCTGGTGGTGACTGCCTGCAACCAGTTTGGCAGCGACCTCTGCACGCTTCAGCTGGCCATGGCAGGTTCGTTCACGCACGGCGCCGCGTGATAAATGTAGTATTTTAGCGAGAATTCAAGGAACTTACTATCGGTGGTAGTAAATTCGTATGATTTAATAGCTTAAGCCTGTGAATTAAAGGGTCGTAAATTCACAGGAGGGTCTCTAAGTAACGTTGGGTGTTTTGAAATGAATCGTCTGGCTATTATTACCTGATGGATTTACGAGGAGAAAATGACAGCTTCCGCATGCAGCTTCCTTAATGGTTTAGTCTTTATTGACGACTTTTTATGACAGGTAATAAACTTATCTACACACACAATCACCTAAATCAGAGGGATTCCTTGTCCCCATAAATATTGGCTTCTTTTCTAGTTCCTCCTAAATTTGAAACCATCATGGAAGATTTGGACGTGCGTGTCGGGGATATGTGCCGGCTGGCTGTGGAGGTCGAAGGGAAGCCGGACCCAGACATCCTGTGGTTTAAGGTAACCCTTTCGGGTGTGCGAGAGCATCTCCCCAACGGAAGCCCGAATGTCAACGCGAATAGTGTCACTCAGTCGGGTTCGGCTCTTGTTGCAGGATGATGCTCTTCTCTCCGAGGGCAGCCACTTCACGTTTGTGTACGACGATCCGGAGTATTCTCTGGTGGTCCTCAACGCCCAGCCGGAGCACTCGGGCGTGTACACCTGCACGGCCAGGAACCTGGCCGGCTCCAACTCCTGCAAGGCCGAGCTCACGGTCCACACGGGTACGCCGTCTCGCACGACACCGGCACCAGATTTTATCCCATTTGAGTGACCGTATAGGTAAAACATGAGAAATCATTGTAGAGCATCACGCTTTCTACATTTCTGCTGGTGGACTGAAACTGTAAAAAACGCTTACATTTTAGATAGGCGCCATATGGGCGAGACCACAAGGAGCTTAGAAACTACAGCCATAAACCATCTGTCATTATGCCGGAGCACATTTGCTGCCAACGCTTCTCACACAGACAAAATATATAAATAATAAAATGACTAAATGTGCCTGTGTCGGCGCTCCCCACAGAGCGAAAAGAAGAGGCCGAGCCGATGGAGGACGAGGGGACCATTCTGAGGAAGATGAGGCGTTTGACGGATTACTACGACGTCCACAAAGAGATCGGGCGGTGAGTGCGTCCGCCCAGCCCAGACACGGCAAAGAAGCTGATAGCCGCAGGAGCACTCGGGGTCGGAATGTGGGAGGAGGCGGGAGGGGGGAGGGGGGGCTGCACCTGCTTAACAACAGCCGACGGAGACGAGAGATGACTCACCGGCTTGAGGGGAGCGAACGCATTAGCCGGCAGATGATTCGTTTTCGGTCCGTCTCGGTGAGGAGACGGGCATTTACTGTGAATTGTTGAGCCACAAGAGATTGTCAAAATCTCTTTTCCAGGCCCTGCTAGAGGAGCGATAAACCCTTAATGAAATTCAGATTGATTTCTGCCCCTGCATACTGTGAAAAAAAAAAACGCTCAGGGATGAAACTTTGATTGTAGAATTGTCCATGCACTGGAGATTTTCTTAATGAATTGGAGGGAGGACTTGGAAAGCAAATGTGTCAACGAAGCTGATCTACTAATGGAGGACGTCATTGATTCTACAAGAAATAACATAAAAAATATCCATTTAGATATTTTCATTAGCTCATGATGCAACACTGGAATACCAGTTTCCTTTCAGTACATGTAATCGGACTCCTCATATAATGAGTCCCATGCTATACTAAAGCAGTTTCAACTTGCTACATCTATACTTGTCTTCATATACTTGTAAGCTGAGCTGTTAATTCAAGAAATCAATCAAGGTAGCCTTCTGCTGAGCAAAGTCATTCGTTTGAGTGAAGAACTCTAAACGAGTTAGCGAGGCCTGCCAACTCAGTCCTTTAGGTTTTTTTTGGCAGGCCTCACTGACTCCCTTTTTTCTGTAAATTTCTCTTCTGCCTTCTCCTTTTTGGAATTTTCCTACTGAGTTCTACCCAAATCTACCGCCATGCGTCTCTGTATTCGCTCTCTTAGGTGGTTGCATTAGTTGTACGTGCATTATTTACGCTCTTGGGTTGTGCAGTCCCATTGCACACGCACAATTCTGTGTTTCGGTGTTGTTTGTTTGGCTGCAAGAGAGGAACACTCTCTTCATGTGTGTCCTTGACATTTAGAGTCTGGTTCAGCTCAGAATTCACAAAGATATTTTTTGTCTTCTAACCAGTAAATGGAAACCTGGTATAGCTTAAATAACTTGAATGCTACAACTGTCTGCTTAATGTCTCCCTGCTAATTTCCTTTGGAATACACCTCGGTTGTAAGATCCCCTGTCTTATGTCGTATCATAGTCTCACTCGCCACGCAGTCTGGACCTGTCTGGGTTGAAGGCTGTAGTAGGTTCAGTAATAATAGATGGATGGAAGTTAAACTCCGGTCCTTGGGGGCTTCTGTCCTGCAAGCTTTACATGGTTCCCTTCTTCAACACACCTGATTATGATATAGTTGCTTTAAAAGATTACCCCCTGCACTAGTCTGCCAATGTTACATCGATTTGAAGCTTAAAAATCATCCAAAACATGCAGGACTGGACTGTGGCCCTCAAGATCCGGAGTTTGCATTAAATTAAGAATTAAGATCCCTCACAATTAAGTTATCTTTTGAGCTGTAATGAAAATTAAATCAACTGTTTAGTACAGGGGGCAGGCTAGATTGAAATCTAATAGTGTCATTGCTTTGTGACTCCTGGCACAGGGGGGCCTTCTCCTACGTGAAGAGAGTGACCGTCAAGAAGGGAAAGGCAGAATTTGCTGCCAAGTTCATCTCCGCCCGGGGAAAGAGGAAAGAATTGGCGCTCAGGGAAATGGATCTGCTGTCCGAGCTGGACCACGAGAGGGTTCTCTACTTTCACGATGCCTTTGAGAAGAAGAACGTGGTGGTGCTCCTCACGGACTTGTATCCTTCTGCGTGACGGGACACGCTCCGATGGTTGGACTGATGTATTTTTCTCTGTTTGCATGCACTGCTATATTAAGTCAGATTCGTCCAGATTCGAATGCTCTCAAAGATACCAGACGTCAATCGTCACGTCTCCCGCGGTACCTGGAGGCATCAATGAAGCGACCCAGCTTTTTCTCTCTGACTCACAGCTTGCCGAGTGGAATTAGCGAGCAGTAGGACGTGTGGGAGTTTTGCTCATTTATGATTCATTTTTCATGCGCCCACCACTTGGACTGCACGGTGAAGTTGAAGCTGCGTGGGTTTGTTCTTTTCTCTTTTTTTATTCCCCCCTTCTGCCTTAACTGTTGTGTTAGATGTCACGAGGAGCTGCTGGAGAGAATGGCCAAGAAAACCGCTGTCATGGAATCAGAGGTTTGCGTTCGGACTGCAATGCACTGTGGTTATGTAACACAACTCCCCGCTTTATTTTTCCGTGTTGCACATTCCAGATCCGCAGCAGCGTTCGGCAGATTTTGGAGGGCCTTCGCTATCTTCACCAAAAAAGCATAGCTCACCTCGATATCAAGGTATTCCCTGAGGCGTACATATTTGCCTTTAAAAATTCTTTACAAAGATGATCAAAGAATTTTCTTCTTGTCTGTAAACTCCGTCCAGCCTGAGAACATTTTAATGGTGAGCCCGGGGAGTGACCAAATTCGCATTTGTGACTTTGGAAACGCCATAAAATTGGATGCTTCGGAGGGGTGCTACTGCAAATATGGCACCCCCGAGTATGTCGCGCCAGAGATTGTTAACCAGACCCCCATTTCCACTGCAACAGACATCTGGTAAGCCACCTGTTCCCCAGCATGCAGATGGGACCCCACGCAACCGACTACTTTCCCCATCAGTTCCACTTTTTTATTGACCTGTAATGCAATCCCACAGGCCCGTTGGTGTCATCACTTACCTCTGGTACGTTCCGATTGGTCATGTGACATAAAGATTTCAACATGGGAGAACAGCGTTTTCCTAACGAGTGGTCTCTTGTCGTCCAGTCTGACTGGAGTGTCTCCGTTCGCCGGGGAGGATGACCGATCCACTGCCCTCAACATACGGAACTACAACGTGGCGTTCGAGGAGAGCATGTTTTCTGGCCTCTGCAAAGAAGCAAAGGGATTTGTCATCAAGCTCTTAGTGGTGGACAGACTGTAAGAAAATCAACGAGTCATGTAAAACGCGTGGTCGCATTTTGCTTGACGGCTATGTAACTCAAGAGAACCTGAACTATAAAGATGCTCATCAATGCTTTTTTCCCCCACTTAAGGCGGCCCAGTGCAACGGAGGGCCTCCGTCACCCTTGGTTGAAGGTGAATCAGAGAATTTACGTGCCTCCTTTGAACTGCCGATGTCACTGAGTTGGTCAGTATTCCCACTTGGTTATTGATAATTGCCCTGTTTGTCTTGCAGTCGCCTACAAATAAGGGCATCAGCACCACCATGCTTAAGCAGGTTCTCTCTAGAAGGCGATGGCAGGTGCGTCATGTGCAGAGTGTAAAAACATGTTGCGTAAAGATTGAGTCCCATTGAGCAATAAGCAATAGACAATCTAAAGAAAGTATGGAATCCAGGATTATGCCATTGTTTTCAGTACTTCAGCAATGCTTAGACATAAAGTGCCAACAATTACCTGATCCTGAACATACAACCAAAAGCCCCCCAAAAAAAAGGATTTCGATAATCCAAAATTGTTATTTGCTGCACAATTTCAGCGATCCCTCATCAGCTACAAATCCAAGATGGTGATGCGGTCCATCCCAGAGCTCCTCAATGACTCGTCGAACCACGTCTCCATCGCCATGCCACGAAATCTAAAAGAGGGCTCCCCGCCGCCCTCCTCCTCGTCCGACTCCGATGCAGATGTGGATGAACTTCCCTTTATTCCAATGCCACTGTCCATGTTTTTTTCTGGCTCCAGGGTGTCCCTTAATGAGATCCCAGGTGATGAAAATGGCAGGCAGCCAGGTGTTGCTGGCGGTGGGACGAGGAGAAACGACAGCACAGACGTGGCAGGCTCTGGCGGAGGGGATATACAAAGAATGAAAAACGAAGAGGAACCTCAGGATGGGGAGAGAGCGGGGAAACGAGCTGCTCTCAGCAAAGGGTCGAGCGTGGAGGCCGAAGAATCGCAGACCAAAGCCAGGCGAGCTACCATGAGGAGAGGCAGCTCTGCGGACTCAGCGCTCCTTCTCCACATCGACCCGGAGGACGAAAATGCAGATGAAGATTCGGCGGGCAATAAAAACAGCCTGAAAAAGGCTGTTTCCATGGAACTGCCCAACCGCAGCCCGAGTCCCGGGGCAACCAAGTTAAGCCAGGAGGATTACGCTCTGAAACTGGATTTAATGAGGCAGCGACTGCTGAGGGGAGGGAGTGCCGATAAAAAGATGAGCGGGCTGAGGGGGCCCCTGTTCGAAACGCTCGGCGTGAATGACGAGAGGCGGACGGGGTCGCTCGATCGGAACCTGAGGCGATCACGGGCGGGTCCGTCCACGCTCACGAGAGCGGCATCTTCTGAGAGCGCCGGGGAGGACGTGCCGAAGACCAAAGTGTTTCGTAAGAGCGTCTCCTTCACCCAGGGCGACTCTGAGCCCATACCCCTTCACCGCAGGTTCGGGGCCCCCTTAGAGATTCCCTCGGCGGGCAGCGCTAGCGCGGCGGGGAGGACACTCCAGGAGGCCATCTCCATGTCCGCACTGACTGAACAAGCCACGCTTGAGTCTCAACCTCCCTCGCCCAGGGAAAGACCTTCCTTCGAATTCCCGGCACAAGAAAAAATGGACCAATCGCAGAGTAAGGGCAATGTGAGAGAATGCGAGGACGCAGATGTAATAGCAGAGAAAAGGACCAAAATTCAACTCGACAAGGGAAGCAAAGTGGAATCGGAGTCGAGATCCCCCTCCGTTGTCACCCCTATAATTGTAATAGAAGAGGACGATGAGGAAGAAGGAAGAAAATATCCAATCTTACAAACAAATGAAAAGGAAATGGAAGATTCAGGGGTCATTCAAGCTGTTGATGTTACCGCTCAAACATCAGTCAAACCCCACTCCAAAGATGTTGCTCCTACAGTCAAACCAAGTGATACAAAGTCTGGTGGTACGTCGGCCTTGTCTGAACATCCAGCAGTTTTTGCCAAAATAGCAACTGGGGACGGACCTTCCGGTCCCGTCTCCTCCTCCTCGTCGAACCCTGATCTTCTTGCCACGCCTCGTCGCCCCGTGCTTCGAACGGACATCAAAGACATCGATTCAGAGGAAGTCTTTGAGGCGAGGTTCAAGAAGCGAGAGTCGTCGTTGACCCGCGGCCTCCGCAAACTGACCAGAAACAAATCGGAGGAGAAATCGCCTGTGTTAAGCCGCAAGCTGCCTGATGGAGGGGAGGAGGTTTACAGGCCAGGGCCAAGAGGAGCTCCCATTGAAATGGTATCCAAAGGTCTGCCAGAAAAATCCAAATCTGTTCAAGACTTAAGAGAAGTAGATCAGGACACTAGCCTTGGTCTTATGGGGAGGTTTTCTTTGAGGGGGAGGCGGTCAACATCCAGTGAGAAGAAGGGTGAGACGGCAAAGGAGGAAAAGCCAGCCAACCAACAAGAAACCGCCACAAACAAGAGAGTTTCATGGGCCATTGGTCGTAGCAAGTCTCTGGATACGAAGGAGCTGAATGGTGGCGGAACACAGAAGCGGCCGGAGGAGAGAGAGCAAACAAAAGCTGACGAGTCATCCGTTTCTGCCATGAGGCGCAAGTTTGAGTCCAAAGTGGCTGGAATTTCTGCCAAAATAAGGAGTCAGTCGGAGGAGAGGAAGGCCAAAGAGGCGGGGGAGAGTCCAAAAGAGCCGGTGGAGAAGAATTCGAAAAAGGTCCCGGAGTCGCCCGTCTTAGCGATGCGGCAGAAGTTCGAGAACAAAGTGGCCGCCATCTCCACGAAACTCCGCAGTCAGTCGGAGGAAAGGAAAGCCGAGGCGGACGGTAAGGGCACGCCTCTGTTTGCCCGCCACCGGCACTCCCAATCAGAGGGCCGCGGGCTTAAGGGAATGGGCATCCCCGAGAACCAGCTGGCAAAACAGACCGGCGCCGCTGCATCCAAGGAGTCCATCGAGTCCGCGTCCAGCATCCAATCTGAAAAAGCATCGGAAAGTGAAAGAAGATCACGTTGGGACAGGTGGGGTCTGACAAGAGGCAAGAGAGACAAAACCCCCTCTCAGTCGGATTTGTCCACGGCTGTCCCGAAAGAAGAAGGGTTCAAGGAAAGCCAGCAGTTTTCCCGCTCCGCTTCGGATTTTGCTCCGGTGTTCCACATTAAACTGAAGGACCACGTCTTGTTAGAGGGGGAATCCGTCACCCTCAGTTGCCTTCCAGCTGGCAGTCCCCATCCAGAAATAACATGGATGAAAGGTAAACTCCGATTCCGGCTACAAAAACACGCAAAGTCATTCAAACACACCCCCTCTAAAATCCTCTGACTTTTGGGTTGCAGATCGGAAATCATTTGAGCCGACCGATGATCGAATCCACCTCGTATCCCATCCAGATGGAAGGCAGCTTCTTACAATCCAGAGTTCCAGCCACAAGGATGCTGGAGTTTATGAATGTGTGGCTACAAATCCCATAGCCACTATCACTACCTCTTGTAAACTCTCCATTGCCTGTAAGTGGCTTTTCCTTGTCTCTAGCAACTGAACTGTTTTGTAGTTCCTTTGTTTTTTAATTTTTCATCAGTTATTATCTCACATTACTGAACTGTGGAAGTGTTATCAAGACTGACATGAAATATAGCAGATTAACTGGATATTTTCACCTTTTATGCAGCTGACCTCATCTATGAAGTTAGTTGGTCAGTACAGTAGCATGTAATTCCAAATAAGACAACCCCTTTGTTTTTTATTTAAAAACTAAACCCAGTTTGTGAAGGTGTTTCTGCATCTTGGCCTTGAGAAAATCATTTATGGCCAAGAATAATAATACTTATTAGAAGTGAATGAGCATATCATTATACTACAGCAAAAACCTGAGCATCCATCATGACATTAATCAAATGAGAACTCGAGCTTTTAATGAAGATTGATAGATTTTTTTTCTGTCTTTCATTTCACTTCTCAAGGTGTCCCAAAACGACCAGGGACCCCAGAAGTAGCTCAGACTTACAACAACACGGCCTTGGTACTGTGGAAGCCTGTGGACGCGAAATCTCCATGCAGCTATTCTCTGGAAAGAAAAGCCGAAGGTAAATCTAAATAATCTCTATATATTTTATTTATCGGCTGTATGCGGTCTCGGTTTTACGAACAGCTTCCCTGCTCTTTCATCACTGCTCCTCACCAGGACACAAAATATTTGGAACAGAGATAAAAAAGTAAAACTTGTGGCTTTTGGTGATGATGTGTACCAAATCATTATCACCTCATTAATTAGGGAGGTGTGAAGGAATGATGAATGACCTGTACTATTTGCATTGTTTGTTTTTAATCTTTATATCTTATTTTTGGTCACCATAATCTGATAAGGATTCAATCACTAAATGAGCATTGAATCTTATTACTTTTCCAACACTGCCATCTAGTGTTTGATTTGTGAAATATCTATCTATCTATCTATCTATCTATCTATCTATCTATCTATCTATCTATCTAT